TACGCCGCGCACCAGCTGAACCTGTGGCCTAGTGACGCACGGCCACGGGTGACGCCGGTCTCCCTTTGGACAGGTTCTCCGGGCGTAGCAGCTGACTTCCGTGTCTGGGGCTCTCTGGCTCACGTTCGCGCCCCTGGCGCGAACAAGTTGTCTCCGCGCACCCGTGCCTGCGTCTTTCTTGGTTTCCCTTTGGACGCCTCCGGCTGGTTGTTCTACGACCCGGCCACCTACCAGTTCTTCGCTTCTCAGGACGTCACGTTCGACGAGTCTGTCTGTTACTACAGGAGTCGCCCCCACCGAGGTACTGAGGCCTTTTCCCCCCCGCTGTTCCTCACCCTTGAGCCCCCCCCAGTCGCCCCGGTAGCCCCCCCCCCTTCGCGTCCTGCCCCGTCAGGTGTGTCGCACGTCACTCCGCAGTCGTCCCCCCCGCAGCGTCCAGTCCGTGTCGTGTTTGAGGGTGCGGGAGGTGCAGTTGCGGAGGGTGAGGGTACTGGGGCTGCAGGAGCTGGTGGTGTCGGCTCTGGGGGTGCAGGGGTTGTGGGTGTGGAGGTCACTCCCGTGGAGGACACGGCAGCCTCGAGCCGGCGGCCTCGCCCCGCGTCACCCCCTGGCTTCCCGTCCGTCCCGCAGTTCCCTCCTCGTTCTTCTCTGCGGCTGGTTTCTGCGGAGCCCGGGGGTGCTACTGCGGGAGGCACTGGAGGCTCCGGGGGTGTCGACGGTGGAGGTGTTGGTTCTGGGGGTGCTGGAGCTGGAGGCACTGGCACTGTGGCGCCTACACCGCGCACTGTACGTTTCCTGACCCGTGAGCAGCGTCTCTTCCAGTTGGAGAGGGAGGAGCGTGCGCGGTTTGAGAGGGCACAGCAGCAGCAGCAGCAGCAGCACGAGAGAGTAGAGGAGGAGTCACAGCCGCAGCAGGAGAGGGTAGAGGAGGAGTCACGGCCGCACCAGGAGAGGGTAGAGCAGGAGTCCCACCCGCAGCAGCAGGTGCAGTTACAGACCCGGCAGGAGCGAGTAGAGGAGCAGTCACCGCCGCACCAGGAGAGGGTAGAGCAGGAGTCCCACCCGCAGCAGCAGGTGCAGTTACAGACCCAGCAGGAGAGAGTAGAGGAGGAGTCCTGGTCCCAGCAGCGGGTGCAGCTGCAGTCGCAGCAGGAGAGGGCAGAGGCGGAGCCACAGGAGCAGCAGCAGGGGCCGGTACCGTCGCAGCAGACGCCAGAGGAGGCGGAGCAGCACCGACTGCGACTACGCGACCTCCCCGACCCATCACCTGCACGCTTTGTTCGTGGTCCCCTACCGTCCCCTCCTGTTCCCCCTGTTGAGTCCCTTTCCTCGTCCCAGTGGACTCGTCGTTCTCCCCTCAGTCGTGCTGTGTCCCCTGAGCGTCGTCGGTCCCGTTACCGTGCAGACGGTCCGTTCCACCTCGTTCTTCGCTCTCGTGTTCCACCTCCTCCCGTCCTTCCACAGCCCCCTGAGTCGTCCCTCACTGTGCTTCACGACCCGTTGTCCGACTACCTTCGTGCCTCCCGTCCTGTTGTCTCCCGTGTTTTGTCCGCGTTGGTCACTCACCCGACTGCACCCTTGTCGTCTGTCTCAGCACTTGTTACCACTGTCGCTGACTTTGCCTCTTCCCACCGCCTTGACTACGCCGCTCACCTGGTGAGTGGCGCTGCTCGTTCTCCGTCCTCTGGGGGTGCTCCTGTCTTTCCCTTGGAGGTCCTGGAGGACAGGCAGTTTGAGCTTGGTTTCCTTGCGGCCGCTGTTCCTCATCTCTGCGCCATGCTGCTTGCCCCTGAGGGGGATCCAGACGCTCTTGACATTTCGATCCCTCGCACTCACGCTGAGGCGGTCTCGGGACCTTGGGCCTCGTACTGGATAGCAGCTGAGGAGGCAGAGATGGCATCTTATAGGTCCACAGGCACTTACGTCGACGCAGTCCCACCACCTGGGACGAACGTCGTCAGTGGCCGATGGCTCTACAAGGTGAAGCGGCCGCCTGGATCACCACCAGTGTTCAAGGCGCGCTATGTGGCGAGAGGCTTCAGTCAGCGAGCGGGGGTGGACTTCTTCCAGACCTTCGCTCCCACCCCGAAGATGAGTACTCTTCGGGTGTTGCTGCACATTGCAGCCCAGCGCGACTACGAGTTGCACTCTCTAGACTTTTCCACCGCGTTCCTTCAGGGGAGCCTGCACGAGCAGATCTGGCTGCGTCGCCCGCCTGGCTTCACTGGCTCTTTCCCACCTGGGACCCAGTGGCAGCTGCGTCGACCAGTCTACGGCCTGCGTCAGGCTCCACGTGAGTGGCACGACACACTTCGCTCGACCCTTGCAGCGCTTGACTTCTTTCCGTCGTCTGCCGACCCGTCACTGTTCGTCCGCCGTGGCTCGACCCCGTTCTTTGTTCTTGTTTACGTTGACGACCTGGTCTTCGCCACTCCCGACCGACACGCACTGGCCTCCGTGAAGGAGGAACTGCAGAGGAGACACACTTGCACTGACCTTGGTGAGCTGCATCACTACCTTGGCCTGCAGATCACTAGGGACAGGGCAGCTCGCACCATTACGCTGACGCAGTCGCATATGGTCGAGCAGATCCTCACGCGGTTTCGCTTCCCGTTCTCCAAGGTACAGCTCACCCCTCTTGGTGTGGATCATGGGCTCACGGCTCCACCTTCGGACGAGTCATTTGAGCCCAGTGGTCCATATCCTGAGCTGGTGGGTTGTCTCATGTACCTGATGACATGTACTCGCCCAGACCTAGCTTACCCTCTTAGCGTCCTTGCGCGCTTTGTTGCGCCTGGGAGACACCGACCGTCCCACTGGTACGCTGCTAAGAGGGTGGCGAAGTATGTGGCGAGTACATCAGGCATGGGACTTGTCCTTGGAGGGAAGCAGCCAGTTACACTCACAGGTTACTCGGACTCGTCGTGGGCCGACGACGCGGAGACGCGTCGGTCTACACAGGGGTACTCCTTTAGCCTCGGGACAGGTGCTGTTTCGTGGCGGTCGACTCGGGCGTCGTCCGTCTCCGGTTCCAGCTGTGAGGCAGAGGTGTACGCTGCGGCCATGGCCGCTCAGGAGCTTCGCTGGCTGTCTTTCCTTCTCACCGACCTTGGTGAGCGGCCTCGCTCTCCCCCAGTCTTGTTCGCCGATAACAGGTCTGCTGTCCTGTTGTGTGAGGAGCCCCGACTGGTTGGGAAGTCGAAGCACATCCAGCTTCGTTACTTCCTTCTGCGTGAGTTGCAGCAGCGTGGCCAGGCACTCGTACGACGCGTGGTCTCTGAGGCCAACACGGCAGATATCTTCACCAAGGCGTTGCCGCCTTGTGACCACCAGCGTTTCTGCACCCAGCTTGGCCTTGTGCCTGCCCGTCCTCACTTGCTTACGTAGAGATGCTTTGTCCTGCTTGTCTTGTACTCTTGCATCTCATTATATTTGCTATATACCTGCATGTGGACTGGCCTTGTGGCCTCTTGCTTGCTCTCGGAGTGTGTGGTGACTTTGAGCTCCACCCTGAGATTTGTCTTGTTCTTGTGGATTGGTCTTGTGACCCTTGCTTGTTCTTGCTGACCGGTCACGTGACCCTTGCTTGCTCTCAGAATGTGTGTGTCCTTGAGACCCACCCTGAGATTTGTGTTGCTTTCCACAGGACTGCCGTCACCTAGACTATGGGGGTGTGTCAACATATATTTTATATGTTTAGTTTTTGTTAGTCTAGGTGTACCATTTCATATTCCTAGGGTTAGCTATATCCTCTTGTATCTCGTTTCCCTTAGTCAATCTTTTCACCCGTTCTAGTCTCGACACCGCTAAGGGCAGGGGACGCGACGGGAGGGTAGGCACGCACGGCGCGACTTGGGCAGGAGCGAAGCGCGCTCCGGGCAGGAAAAAAAAAATCGATTTTCAGTGGTGGGCCCTAGGAACGTTCCCACTAGGGAACCTGCTCTATACCATGTGAAGATTACGAGGGAATGAATGCACTAGGAAACAGGTGGGTACAAGTAGGAAAACCTAAAAGTGTTGTACCCTATATTGTCAACCCCACTACAGCCTACACAGACTATAGCATATAAGTTTGACACTGCAGCCTACACAGACTATATCATATAAGTTTGACACACCCCCATAGGCAAAGTGGGGGAGAACAAGAGGTCACAAGACCAGTCAAGAGAAGCAAAGCAAGCTCAGGGTGGATCACGAAGTCACCACGCATTCTAAGCACAAGCAAATGGCCACAAGGCCAGTTCACATGCAGAGTTGTATAAAGGCAAACAAACAATACACTGATCACAACCTAGCAAGTGTGAGCATGCATGTATATGTATAAAGAACACAGTACAAGCAAAGTCAAGAAGTGAGCAAGTGAGGCCCAGTGGGCAAAGGGCCTAGAACAGAACAGAAACGCTGATGATCACAAGGCTGAAGTGCCTTGGTGAAGACATCAGCAGTGTTGGCCCGAGTGGCCACGTAAGCGAGACGAAGCTGACCACGCTGCTACAACTCTCGAGCAAGGAAGTAACGCAGAGCGATGTGTTTCGTTCTGTGCTCCAGTCTGTGCTCCTGACACAAGGCAATCATGGCATTGTTGTCGACGTACAGCACTGGAGGAGAACGAGGCGGCTCTCCCAGGTCGGTCAGCAGGTAGGTGAGCCAGCGTAACTCCTGTGCAGCCATGGCCCCTGCGTAGATCTTAGCCTCACAGCTGGAGCTGAGAACAGAAGACGGGCGGGTAGACCGCCATGAAACAGAGCCGGAGCCAAGACTGAAAGTGTACCCCTGCGACGACCGCTGCGTAGCCAAGTCGTCAGCCCAGAAAGCGTCTGCGTGACCAGTGAGGACAACTCGAGCCTGTCCTCCAAGCACGAGCCCCATGCCCGACGTACTGCACAAGTAGCGCAACACCCTCTTAGCGGCATCCATGTGCTCCTTCCGGTGTCTCCTAGGAGCAACATAGCATACCAGGATGCTAAGAGGGTATGCCAGGTCAGGTCGAGTGCAGGTCATCAGGTACATGAGGCAGCCCACAAGCTTTGGATATAGCCACTCGGCTCTACGGACTCATCCGAAGGCAGAGCTGAGAGCGAGTGGCGAGTAGGCAGAGGAATGGGCTGTGGCGAGGAGTACGTGAAGCCAAAGCGCTGAAGGACCTGCTGCACCATGTGTGACTGAGTCAAAGTAATGGTGCGCTGTGCTCTGTCCCGGGTGATCCGCAAGCCAAGATAGCTGCGCATCTCACCCAGGTCTGTGCACGTGTGTCTCTTCTGCAGCTCCGACTTTACGTGGGTGAGTCCCTCAGTGTCAGATGTAGCAAAGACCAAGTCGTCGACGTACACGAGGACGTAGAACGGCGGCAGAGAAGTGTCGGTGCGTAGAAACAGCGACGGGTCAGCAGTGGAAGGAGCAAAGCCAAGAGCCGCAAGGGTCGTCCTCAGTGTGTCGTGCCACTCACGGGGCGCCTGGCGGAGACCGTAGACTGGCCGCCGGAGGCTCCGCTGGGTACCAGGAGGAAACGACCCAGTGAAGCAAGGTGGGTGGCGCAGCCAGATCTCCTCGTGCAGGCTGCCCTGTAGGAAAGCAGTGCCGAAGTCAAGAGAGTGCAGCTCGTAGTCACGCTGAGTGGCGACGTGCAGCAGAAGCCGAAGAGTGGTCAACTTTGGGGTGGGGGAGAAGGTCTGGAAGAAGTCAACTCCCTCTCGCCGACTGAAGCCTCGTGCAACGTAACGCGCCTTGAAGACAGGCGGAGAACCCGGCGGCCGCTTCACCCTGAAAATCCACATGCCACTGACGATGTTCGCCCCAGGCAGGGGGACATTATCAACGTAGGTGCCTGTGGACTTCCAGGAAGCCATCTCTGCGTCCATGGCTGTCTGCCACTGAGAGGAGTAGGGACCCTCTATCGCCTCTGCGTAAGAGCGCGGGGTCGGGATGTCTGGTGCATCTGGGTCTCCCTCAGGTGCAATCAGCATGGACACGAGATGAGGTAAAGCAGCGGCAAATCACTCAAACTCCTCCTGCCTGTCCTCAAGGACGTCTGTGCCAAGAGCACACTCACCCCCGACGGACGGAGGACAGACAGACTCAGACTCAGCAACAAGACTAGCGGTGTAGTCTAGACGACAGGCGGCAGCAAAGTCAACAAGCTCAGCAACTAGGGCTGACGCAGCAGTGGACTCGAACCACGGGTCAGTGACAACAGTGGCCAGGAGACGCGTGACAGTAGGACTAGCAGCACGAAGGGAGTCAGACTCTGGGTCCGGACCGTCAGCAGGTGCGTGCGGGGGGCAGGAGGAGGACGCGGACGCGGAACACGACGACTAGTGCGAGCAGCGCGAACAGGCGACGAAGGACGAGACTCAGGCGACCCAGGACGAGACTCAGGCTCACGACGCTCCGTAAGACCTCTAGTCGGCCCAGAGTAAGGAGAAGGACCAGGCAGTGGAGAGGCTGGCTGTAGCAGCGACTGCGGCTGGGCAGGCTGTGGACACAGTAAGGGAAGAGAGGAACCAGTAGAAGGCGGGAGGTCAAGAACCTGCTGAAGAAGCGGAATGAAGTACGGCCGCGGCCGCGCAGCGCCTCCAGAACCAGCAAAGACAGCACCAGTACCCCCAGCTCCAGGGTGTCCAGCTCCTACTCCCGCAGCACCACCAGCTCCAGTACCTCCAACATCTCCAGCTCCACTAGCACCTCCTGCAGCAACTCCCGCAGCACCACGAGCCGCACCAGCACCAGCAGTATCTCCAGCAGCTCCAGCTCCGGCAGCACCTCCAGCTCCAGCAGCTCCAGCTCCTCCTGCAGCTCCAGCACCAGCAGTACCTCTAGCAGCTCCAGCTCCAGCAGCACCTGCACCAGCAGGACCTCCAGCAGCTCCACCTCCAGCAGCACCTCGCTGGAGTCTCTAGCGGCGAGCAAACCACTCACGCAGCTGCGGTGGGAAGAGAGGCTCCCGCCGAGACGAGGCACCTGCAGGAACTCCAGCAGACTCCGCACCCCCAGTCTCAGCAACCGCAGGCTCAGCACCCTCAGACTCAGAACCCCCTGGCTCCGCACCCTCAGACTCAGCAACCTCAGGCTCAGCACCCCCAGACTCCACACACTCAGGCTTAGCACCCCCAGGCTCCACACGCTCAGGCTCAGCACCCCCAGGCTCCGCACGCTCAGGCTCAGCACCCCCAGTAGCAGCATCAGAGTCAACCGCTTCCTCGACAGGCTTGACTGCGTCTACCTGGGACACACCTGAGGGGGCAGGACCTTGAGGGGGGAGGGGGACTATCGGAGGAGGACCTGGGGCAAGGAAGAGCGGCGCGGGGGGGGGGGAGAGAGTTAGTGCGGTAGGGGAAGAGGCGGTAAAAGGGAACCGACTCGTCGAACGTGACGTCCTGAGAGGGCAAGACACGGCGCGAGATGGGGTGGTAAAACTGCCAGCCAGGCGCGTCAGGGACAAAGCCAAGGAAGACGCAGGGAACAGCACGGGCAGAGAGCTTGTCCGCGGTAGTATCGCGGACAAAGGCACGAGAAACCCAGACCCGAGACACTGACGCATTGTCAACCTTCCTCGTCCAACGCAGTGTGGGCGAGGTCTCCGGCAAGGAGACACGGGGCCAGAGGTTGAGCTGATGCGCAGCGTAACGGACCGCAAACGGCCACAGAAAATGGGGGGCAGCCGCATGGACCATGGAGGTACGAGCGACCTCCATGACTAAGCCAATGCGGCGCTCAGCAATCCCATTCTGCTGCGGTGAGGCCGGGAGCATGAACGTCTGGCGAATGCCCTTCCCACGACAAAAGTCCCGCAGAAAGTCAAAGGCAAACTCACCAACTCTGTCAGAGTGCAGACGTAGGACGGGAAAGTCCGTCCCGAACCGCTCGCGGAGCTGGAGACGGGCAGCGTGGATCCAAGGGATCAAAACATCAGGGACCTCACCCTTGGTGCGCAAGGGGAAGATCGTGGTGTAACGCGTGTAGTCGTCAACGACCAGCAAAAAGTACCGCTCTCGGTCCTGTCCACGAATGCGGGCTGGGCCCCACACGTCCATGTGGAGGGTCTGCAGGGGAGCAGTCGTCGGGGGAAAAGAGGAGTGAGGAGCGGCGCGCTGCCGCCCCTCGACACAGGGAAGACAGGGAGGAGCAGGCGAGGGTGGGAGGGGAGGGAGAACCCTGGGTAGACCAGAGACAAGGAAACAGGGTGCATGCCACGAAGGCACTGCACTGAGGGGTGACCAAGGCGGTGGTGCGAAAGGACGGTCTGGTGCGACAAAGCACGACACGAGCAGGGGGGCGCTAGCTGACCTGACGCAGACGCAGATGCAGCTACCTGAGGGGACACAGTAGTCAGTGTGTACAGGCTCGAGCCAGGCGCACGGGTGAACGTGGCTAGGTGCCGGCCCGTCCGGGAGCACGTACAGTGGGTCACACGCTGACCTCCAAGAGTGAACTGGTCAACCAACGCGTCCTGGAGGTCAGCTCCACTCACCAAGTTCGTAGAGAACGAGGGGAGGTGAAGACCCGACAGTGAGCCAGACGGGACCGCCGGACACGGCAGGACCGTGGAGGAGTGCGCAAGGACTGGGCCCCCAGAGGGGTCTGCCAGGGAGACTGCAACCGGCCGACTGAGCGGCATGAGTGTGGTGCTGTCGCGAAAGAAGGAGCAGGAAGCACCTGAGTCAAGTGTGAAGGTGTGCAAGGCCTCAGCAGGCGCAGTACTAGAGAGAGCAGACTCACCAGCACCTGGAGCAGCAGACTCACTAGTACCTAGAGCAACAGCCTCACCAGCACCTAGAGCAGTAGACTCACTAGCACCTAGAGCAGCAGCCTCACCAGCACCTAGAGCAGCAGCCTCACCAGCACCGAGAGCAGCAGCCTCAATGCCCGGGTCAGGCGGTACACACAGGTAACAGGCACCCTCAGCACTAGTAGGCAATGCATACATGGCAGTGAGGATAGCATCATAGTCAAGAGCAAAGACATCCACCCTCTGTCTAAGCAGCTCCAGCCAGGTGGGGAGCTCAGCCTCGTCGCCAAACTCGGTACGCCAGGCGTCGCTCAGACAGGCGAAGCAGCGGGACTGTGTGTAACCAACCGTCCCACAAGTATGACCAGCCCGATCACCTGTGCGAATGACGTACGGGCAGCGAACGGTACTCCGAGACCCTCTACTCTGAGCGTACCACTCACGAAGCTGCTGGGTCGTAAGCGTCTCGCGCAGACGCCGCTGCAGCTGCATCTGGCCACTGCCAGAAGCACCCGACTGACCAGCTCCAGGGCGACTACCACTACAGCCGCCGCCACAACCCCAACTAGCGTACCACTCACGAAGCTGCTGGGGCGTGAGGGACTCGCGCGGACGTCGCTGCAGCTGCATCTGGCCACCGCCAGTAGCAGCAGTAGAAGCAGTAGTAGCTCCTAGCGCAGCAGCACCTAGGGCTCCTTTTTTTTTTTTTTTTTTTTTAATAATTATTCATTTATTTTAGGGTTTGGCAAGGCGCGCTGGGCGCTGCAGAGGCGGCTCGCGGGCTGCAGGGGTGGCTCGCGGGCTGCAGGGGCAGTGCGCTGGCTGCAAGAGGCAGGCGCGCTGGCTGCAGGGGCGGTTCGCGGGCTGCAGGGGAGGCTCGCGGGCTGCAGACGGGCGGCGCGCGGGCTGCAAGGGTCCGCGCGCGGGCGGCTTGCACGGGGCGGCGCGCGTGCCCTAGGGCAACGCGACGGGCAGGGCAGGGCGGCGCGGTGGCCCTAGGGCAACGCGACGGGCAGGGCAGGGGCGGTGCGCGGGCCCTAGGGCGACGCGACGGGCAGGGCAGGGGCGGCGCGCGGGCTCTAGGGCGACGCGACGGGCAGGGCAGGGGCGGCGCGCGTGCCCTAGGGTGACGCGACGGGCAGGGCAGGGGCGACGCGCTTACTAGGAGCGGGTGCAGGGCAGGGCCGCGACGGGCGGTTAGGTCAGGGCCGCAACGGGGCGGCTGTAGGGCAGGGCTGCGACGAGGCGGCGGCAGAGCAGGGCTGCGACGGGGCGGCAGCAGGGCAGGGCCGCGACAAGGCGGCTGCAAGGCAGGGCCGCGACGGGTGGCGGCAGGGCAGGGCCACGGCGGGCGGCGAGGTTAGGGCCGCAACGGGGGGCGGCAGGGGAGGGCCGCGAAGGGCGGCTAGGTCAGGGCCGCGACAGGCCGTTAGGGCAGGGCCGCGACGGGCCGGTAGGGCAGGGCTGCTACGGGCGGCAGTAGGGCAGGGCGCGCGACGGCGCAGGTGAGGCAGGCGCGAGGCGCGCTTCGAGCAGGGCAGGAAAAAAAACGATCGTGGTGGGCCCTTAAAAAAAAAAACGTTCCCACTAGGTAACCTGCTCTGAAACCATGTGAAAGATAGAACGAGGAATGATGGCATTGAGCAGCATGAGGAGTACAAGTAGGAAACCCTAAAGTGTTGTACCCCATATGAACTACCCCACTGTAGCCTACATAGACTATAGCATATAAGTTTGACAGTACACGCAGCAGATGGAGAGCCTCTTCAACCGAATTACCGACGTGACCGAAGGGGAAAAAATCCAAGCGTATACTGAGGGGCTAAAAATGGAAGTCCGGCGACAGGTGATTGCCGCGAACTACAACAACTACCGCGACATGGTGTGTGCAGCAGAGAGATTCGATGCGCTGATGCGATGTGAACCCGAGACACGACGCCATGTGCCGAACCGATCATTTGGCACGAAGCGATCGGCACCACCCACGACCGCCGACCCGATGGATATCGACAAGATCGACGCGCAGCAGCGGCCGACAAAATATGAGAACTGTGAATTTTGCGGCGCAGCAGGACATCGACTCTTGGCGTGTTGGAAAATGAAGAAGGCACGAACCGAGCTAAAGGGCAACAACAGTGCAGCACCCCCGAAGTTAAAAGACACGGTGACTTCGGAGCGGGCGAAAAAAGGAGGACACGATGGTGCGAATTTAAAACGCCACGACCGGCCGGCAACAGGGGAAATCGCCGAGACAAATGGAGGCTCCGCGAAGCAAGACTCTGCACCGACCGGGAAACTCCAGCCGAACACCCCCGAGAGTAAGAATATTCCCTCTCGAGGTTTTCAAGCCTTTAAAAAATTCAGGGGAGATTTCAAGGCCAAGAAAAAGCCTTTAGACATTATTCAGGTACCTGAGAAGTTGGGCAAACCACTCCGGAGCGTTGAAAAGGGTCGTGCGACTCAAGGAGTTAATATTCTCTCCCCACAACATAGTGTTAAGGCTCCCCATTGCCCACAGGTGAAGCCTACACAACTGCAAAGGCTTAAGGGAAGGTTCCAGACCAAGACGAAGCTGAATCGGCCTCGGATAAATCCTTCTAACCCAAATAAGTTGAAAACTGTTATGGAGTCAGGAGCTTCGAGCGCAGGACCGAGGGATGATCTATTCGACGTACCCTACGATCCTATAAGCGAGACCATCTACGGTTACTCGGAGCAGCAACAACCACTACTACTCGAGGTGATCTGCAACGAGCGATGCCTCCAGGCACTGGTGGACAGTGCTGCGTCCCACTCGGTGTGCGACCGCGGGACGTTGGAGAAAATTGGGGAACCTTCGGAGGAGACCAAGTTCACGGCAACGATGGTGGACGGTACGAAACTTCCCATCCATGGCAAAGCATCACTGCAGCTGCACATAGGGGCGCTGAGGTGGAAGCCGACATTGCCGATCACGAACATCAAGGGTTTAGATTTCATCTTAGGGCGAGATTTCCTGAAGTGGTTCAACCCCGAGATCGACTGGGTCAACAGGAAGGCGTGCATCTACAACAATGGGAAATGAGTGGAGCTGCGAAGCTGGACGGATACAGGGAGCATTCCTGAAACAACACTGGCACGGTTCGAACGGACGGTGAACGAGAGTAACACGTGTTACT